CATTTGTCAGGGTAGTGTGGTCAGCCATTAATATTCCAGCAAATGCCGTGACAACTTGTCATTTCACCTAGCTGGCACAGAAGTTAATTGCTAAAATGGTGCGAAAACCCATTAGTTAGGGGCTTTACCTGCGCCTACTCTGTTTAACGAGAGGAGAGCGTGTTTGTGTTGGCATCACTTTTTCCCGCCAAAACAACCTACTGTAGATGTGATTTGTTTGTACAATTTCGGCATTTTTGATAATTAATTTTACTCTATAGTTGATTATACTAGATGTTTAAAGAAATTATGTGTGTGTGTGTGTGTGTGTGTGTGTGTGTGTGTGTGTGTGTGTGTGTGTGTGTGTGTGAAAAACTTAATTATCTACTTCACTGCTCCTGCCACCACCACACCACTTCAAGAACCTATCCCTTAACTAACCTTTCCCTCTCTCTCTAGAACAAACCCAAGCCATAACCCTATCCACTTTCCAGGTTTCAAACTTCCCTCCTACCACTTTCCCCATCACTCCCCTCTCCCTCTCCACCACCCCATCACCCCCCTACCGTCTCCACCACCCCATCACTCCCCTCTCCACCACCCCATCACCCCCCTACCGTCTCCACCACCCCATCACTCCCCTCTCCACCACCCCATCACCCCCCTACCGTCTCCACCACCCCATCACTCCCCTCTCCACCACCCCATCACCTTCCCACCACTCCCTTCACTACCTTCCTATCAACCCAACCAACCCCATAACACCTCTACCCCTATCACCTCCCCATAACACGTCCACTCCATCACCTCCCCATCACGCCCCTCCATCACCTCCCCCTCATCACCTCCCCCGCCCGCCCTCCATCACCTCCCCATAACACGCCCACTCCATCACCTCCCCATAACACGCCCACTCCATCACCTCCCCATCATTCCCCTCCCCCATCTCCCCCACCACAACTCACCAACTACTTCAAGAGGGTAAACTTATTTCACTCACCATCTTGAAGAAAGGGAACCGCATCTTAGCATCTCTCTCGCCTTTCAAGTAAAGGGAAGGGAAGGAGGAGGAGGAACAGGAGGAGTAAAGGAGAGAAGGTGTGTAGATAAAAGAAGTAGGGTTTCTGTGTGGGTAAGTCTCTTGTTTTTGGCTCTTGGTCATAAGAGTTCAGTGTTCAAGGTTCATTAAGGATCTTACGTTCATTCCCCTCCATCTTTAGTCTAAGAGTTCAGGGTTCACAGGTACAGCGCCTCACTCTTACCACTGCGAGTCGGATTTGATGCCATCTTGGGCTGGAAGTTATCCATTGTAACAGTACAGGACATGGCAGGTGGCCACCGGGTGTTAGGGCTGCCTTCTGTACTAACACTGGTTCCACTGTGGGGAGAATGGCCCTAATTAGACCCACAGGGGAGGAGGGGGAGGGGAGGGGGTGGCCCACACTGCTGAGGACTGCTGGGATTCTCAGAGTCGCGTATTTATTCTTCCCTCCTCCCCAACCCTCCCCCCCCCTCCCCCATCCCCTGTCTAAAGTTCCTACTATAATAAAAGATAACGCCAGACGTATGAGTGCTCTTACTGGCACTGTTTTTATAATCATCAGCGAAAATTTAACGCTTCTCTCTCTCTCTAGCTGAGGGCGCGTCTGGGTGACTCACTAAACCTACGATATAAAACTAGTATAGGCAAAATGGCGTCGTAATTGCTCCGAGACTCTACAGCAACCATGGTAAAGGGGAAAACGATGATTCACATGGCATCGATATTACACTGAGATTCGACCGTAAAGACGTTGTGTGTGTGTGTGTTCTCTCACCTACAGTTTATGGAACCAAAAATGACCTTAGTAATCTTTGAACAGCTTTGAACTTGGTTTTAGTTCAGATTTATTCTATTTTTTTCCAATATATTTATGAGAATAATCGGAGGAACTTTTGAACAGAAGGAATTGATACGCATAAATGTAAATAATATATATTTTGTCTCACGGTAAAAAAAACAAAAAATCTTACGAACATCATAGTAGACGGCACAGACCTCTACTTAAGTCTTATTAATTGTATCTTAAGAATGTGCCTAAGAAAACATCCCTAACCTAGACTTAAGTTCATATTTAAACTGTAAACATCCTACGACACTTTGAGTATACGGAAAACTGACTCTTAATCATATTTTTTGTCTTATTATTATTTACAGTATATGTTTGATGAAATTTACCTTACGATGTTTTGAGCATATTGAACACAGACTCGGAAATATACATCTTATTTCTACCGTAAGTTCAATTTTATCTTATTATTCTTATGCTTAAAAATAACCTTACGACAATTCAAACATACAGAACCCTGACTCGAAAATCTAAAAAAAAAAAGAAGAAAAATCAACATAAACAGAGAGAGGAAAAACAACTTAAGATTCTTTATATATTCAGTAAACTCTATATACTTTTTTTCGTCGTGTTGTAAAATCTTACCGGGAGAATGTATGGTGAGGGAGCCTTGTGTTCTGTATTCATAGAAGATCAACAGTAATAAAGATTTAGGTTTTTTCGAAGTCTTACAGTGAGTAGTGGCCTTTGGTGTGTGGTGTTGTCTGCTGTGTGGTGGAGGTGTGATGGTAGTGATGATGTTAATAGTGTTAGTAGTGCTAGTTAGTCAGGTAGTAGTAGAAGTGGTGAAGGGAGATGGTGGTTGAATGTATCTAAGGCATAACACACTAGTTAAATCCCATCTCGAGGATCACCCGAAGATTAGCCACCCCAGCTTAAGATAAAACACCCTAACGCTTACCTTGGGAGATGGGAGAGATTAAAATTAGCTTAAATTAGGTTAGTTAGTTCCGAGAATCTTACTGTTGTTTCAGAATCTAAAACACCTGTAATTAGAGAATGTTTTGATAGTGTGAGAATTTAACATCTGTAATGTTCGGTTGGTCTCGTAGGTAAGAGGACTCCCATGCCGACTGCTGTAACTAAAGGTAATAAAGACACATACATCCAAACTGGTGGAGATTATACGAGGATGGATCAATGTTGTTGTTGCCAGACCTGTGTGTGTGTGTGTGTGTGTGTGTGTGTGTGTGTGTGTGTGTGTGTGTGTGTGTGTGTGTGTGTGTGTGTGTGTGTGTGTGTGTGTGTGTGTGTGTGTCTAGTTGGAGGCTGTCCAACTCCTGGGATGAACCTTTAAATGGATGTCTTGGAGGAAGAGGGGTAAGGAGGAGGCGGAGGAGGAGGGGTGAGAAGGAAGAGGCTTTGGATAAAAGAGGAGGGGAAAGATGAGGAGGAAAAGAGGATGGAAGAGTAATAAGAATGTTGAGATGAAACAGGAGGAGGAGGAAGATGAGGAGAGAGAGAGAGAGAGAGAGAGAGAGAGAGTAACCTACACCTCCACACACACACACACACACACACACAACACAGCAGGGGCCCGCATATATTAAACATACGCAGGAGGGTGTTGGCCGTGTAGGGGGAACACAAGTGGCTAAGTTTATAGTTGGGTTGTGAGGTCCTGACCGCATAGCACTCCTTCAAACCCCCTCCTCACATACATACATACATACATACATATGACCTTCCCTTGCCAGGTGTTGGACGGCTAAACAGGTGACACTACGCGAGCTGAATCAACACCTGAGGCCAAGTAACTCAGGTGTTTTATTTTGATTTTTTTAAATTTTCGTAGTTACAGTGATTTAGAGAGAGAGAGAGAGAGAGAGAGAGCGAGAGAGCGCTGTTATTACATATGATAATTTCTTCAACTTGATATGATAGTATCAGGAACGTTAATAGTAATAATAATAATAATAATAATAATAATAATAATAATAATAATAATAATAATAATAATAATAATAATAATAATAATAATAATAATAAAAGGATAATTACAACAATACACGTGTAATGAGGAACAATAATTACACGAACGATCATAAAATCAAGAAGAATAATGACAATAATAATCGTATGTGGATGATTAGGGGAAGAAGAAGAAGTGAGGAATATATACGTAGTGATGATAAATTAACGTGAGACTGTAATAAAGTGGTAATAGTGATGTACAGTAGTGGTGAGGGAGAATATGTGTCTTTGATAACATGGGAGTTAGATCAGGGGGACTGACTGGTGATTATGGCTGTATTGGTGTGGCTGTTTGTATGTCTCTGTGTCTGTATGTCTGTCTGTCTGTGTATCTCTATTTATCTCTTTCAGTCTCTCTTTCCTTATGTCTGTCTATCTGTCTGTTTGTCTGTCTGTCTGTCTAAGTCTCCATCTCTTTCTCATTGTGTCTCTTACTTGTCTGTTTCTGTCTGTCTGTCTGTCTGTCTGTGTATCTCTTAGTTTCTTTGTCCCTCTCTGTCTCTGTTAGTCCACCTGTCTCTTTGTCTGTCTTTATTTACGTCTGAGTATTCTTTCTGTGTACGAAGTGAGAATGAGAACAGTAAAGTGTGTGTGTGTGTGTGTGTGTGTGTGTGTGTGTGTGAGCCTGTGAGTAGTGTAGAGGAAAGCCTTAAAATGTCATTGAGTTACGAGATAATTAATGAAACCAAAACAACTTTCCAAATCAGCTGTTACAATGTAAACAAACCGGATTTAAATGTCCTCAGATTGACACCTTTTATTTACAAACACATTCACCTGCCCAGATCAGCTGTTAAGAGAATGAGTCACCGGCATTATTACCTGAAATTTGATATTTAGTCCGTAATGGTGTGAGCTAACGAGGTCTAACTAGCTCGTTTATGGCATGTAAATTAATTGGGTTAATGACTCTGTGATTAGGACGTACCTTGCGTTTGTTTAATTAGTATTATGTGTGAATGGTGATTAGGGATTGTTGATTAGCAAATTATTTTAGTGATTGGGTATATGTTTAGTTAGTTGGGATATGCTCATTAATTGTTACTTAATTTAGTTTAATGAAATAATAACCATTGACATGTTTTGATTAGTTGGAGTTACAATTGGTTGTTTAAATATGTTGTGTTCAGGAACTTGGAATATATTGAGTTAATTGGAATGGTTAATGAATCAGAATATATTGAGTTAATTGGAGTGGTTAATGAATCAGAATATATTGAGTTAATTGGAATGGCTAATGAATCAGAATATATTGAGTTAATTGGAGTGGTTAATGAATCAGAATATATTGAGTTAATTGGAATGGTTAATGAATCAGAATATATTGAGTTAATTGGAGTGGTTAATGAATCAGAATATATTGAGTTAATTGGAATGGTTAATGAATCAGAATATATTGAGTTAATTGGAATGGTTAATGAATCAGAATATATTGAGTTAATTGGAATGGTTAATGAATCAGAATATATTGAGTTAATTGGAGTGGTTAATGAATCAGAATATATTGAGTTAATTGGAGTGGTTAATGAATCAGAATATATTGAGTTAATTGGAGTGGTTAATGAATCAGAATATATTGAGTTAATTGGAATGGTTAATGAATCAGAATATATTGAGTTAATTGGAATGGTTAATGAATCAGATTATATTGAGTTAATTGGAATGGTTAATGAATCAGAATATATTGAGTTAATTGGAATGGTTAATGAATCAGAATATATTGAGTTAATTGGAATGGTTAATGAATCAGAATATATTGAGTTAATTGGAGTGGTTAATGAATCAGAATATATTGAGTTAATTGGAATGGTTAATGAATCAGAATATATTGAGTTAATTGGAATGGTTAATGAATCAGAATATATTGAGTTAATTGGAGTGGTTAATGAATCAGAATATATTGAGTTAATTGGAGTGGTTAATGAATCAGATTATATTGAGTTAATTGGAATGGTTAATGAATCAGAATATATTGAGTTAATTGGAATGGTTAATGAATCAGAATATATTGAGTTAATTGGAGTGGTTAATGAATCAGAATATATTGAGTTAATTGGAATGGTTAATGAATCAGAATATATTGAGTTAATTGGAATGGTTAATGAATCAGAATATATCTAGTTAATTGAATGGTTAATGAATCAGAATATATTGAGTTAATTGGAATGGTTAATGAATCAGAATATATTGAGTTAATTGGAGTGGTTAATGAATCAGAATATATTGAGTTAATTGGAATGGTTAATGAATCAGAATATATTAGTTAATTGGAATGGTTAATGAATCAGAATATATTGAGTTAATTGGAATGGTTAATGAATCAGAATATTGAGTTAATTGGAAGTTAATGAATCAGAATATATCTAGTTAATTGTGTAGTTAATGAATCAGAATATATTGAGTTAATTGGAATGGTTAATGAATCAGAATATATCTAGTTAATTGTGATATGTTGTGAATAGTTAGCTGAAAGTTGCTGTGTTAATTCTCGTGTTACTTGAAGTTATATGTGAGAGAGAGGAATTCCCCAGACATTCGTGCAAAGTAACCGGACCGACACACACACACACACACACACACACACACACACACACACACACACACACACACACACACACACACACACACACACACACCTTTTGTTAGTCAAACGAGAGTCCTAATTGATTGGACACCTTTGGGTACATAACAAATAATACGTCATTACTTGCCTTCAGATCCATATATTTAATGGGTGAAGAAGAAGGAGAGAGAGAGAGAGGGAACTCCTGTCCAGTTTGTATTTCGTTTCCATTTAATTAAGTTTGATTCGTCGTTAATTAATTGATCGATTTATTAATTCATTTAATTACGTTTATTGATATTTTGATTAATATAGGATTTGAGGACAATTATAATTTATGTATGATTTTTTGTACTGTCCTTCCTCCTCTTTCCTTTTCTTTTTCTTTCCTCTATCTTCTAACCTTCCTCCTTATCTCCTTCTTCCCTCCTCATCCATCCATCCATCTCCATTCCTCATTTCTTTCCTTCCTTCTTCCCTCTCTCCACCCCCTCCTCCTCTTCATCCTTCTCTCCTCCTTCTTCCTCCATCTTTCTTTCTCTCCTCCTCCTCCATCCCCTCCCCCATCTCCTTCCTTCCCCCTCCTTCCATCCCTCTGTCTCCTTCTTCCCTCTCCTTACATCCTCTCTGTCTCCTCCTCCCCTCCCTCCACCCCCCTCCTTCCTTCCTTCCTTCCTTTCCTTCCTTCTCTCGTTATCCCGCCAAGTTCAGTAGAATGTGTAATCCTTTATTTATTTATTTATTTATTAATTTATTGTAGTAATTTGGGGATAATTTATTGTTACTCAAATATTAGTTCACATAAAAAAAACACCAATTAAAATTATTCTGGTTTTTAAATTTGGTTTAAATTTCTGTTTGTGGGGATTTAAGGTTTTTAGATACACAGTTAAATGTCAGTTGTTGTTTTAAATTTGTTTTATATATTTGGTTTTTAATAATGGAATTTACCCCTTTTTCGTGTTTTTATTTTACCTTATTATTTCTTATATAATGTTTACTCAAAAATAAAAAATAAAACCAAGCGCAAGGAACATTTTAAAATTACAATCTGATTTTTTTTTTACTCGCCAATTTCAACATCCGAACAGTTTAGATAACCAAGTGATTTTAGTAATTTTTTAAATATTTTTATATGGTCCTTAGAATTATTTTTTTTAGTTGGTTTTTATAATGGCTAAATATGGCTACTTAAGGCTTCCTAAAATCAGTCTGTTTTTTGTTTTAATTAATAATTTTTCTTATTTTTTAAGAGGATAAATTTATACACACACGTGGATTGATAAACTACACATGATTTTTTTAAGTTTGATTAAAATTAAATTAACAAATGGTTTTCTTGTTTTAATTTCTGTAAGTTAGAAAGGACAAGTGTTACGTGTCTTTTGTTAGAGAAGCGTCAGGTTTAATTAGTAAATCACGAGGTAAAACTTTATATAAAACACAGAGAAAATGTTTTATTTAATACAGTGTGAGAAGAATTAAATTTATGAATGATTTATTAATATGTATGAGACTGTGTGTGTGTGTGTGTGTGTGTGTGTGTGTGTGTGTGTGTGTGTGTGTGTGTGTGTGTGTGTGTTTGATCTCTTGCTTCGTTTTGTTTTGTTTGTAGGTGATTTTGTTTTTATTAATGGGTTGTTCTTGTTTATTTCCTCAGTTAGTTTCACCATCATCCTTAACACCACAACCATCACCATCATCCTTAACACCACAACCATCACCATCATCCTTAACACCACAACCATCACCATCATCCTTAACACCACAACCATCACCATCATCCTTAACACCACAACCATCACCATCATCCTTAACACCACAACCATCACCATCATCCTTAACACCACAACCACCACCACCACCACCACCACCACCAGGTCGTCAATCTCACAAGTACCGCCGTGTGACATAGTACCTCCCTTGGGAATAGTCTTTACATAACATTGCCCCTTGTACCCTACACAACCACCATCCACCACCACACATCACACCCACCACCACCCACCACCACCACCCCACACCACCACCACCACCGAGTCCATCACTACCACCACCAGAGGCGCCATCACCACACCATAACCACTATATCCATCACCACCACCACCACCACCACCATCACCACCAGTACCACAACAACTACGAACACCACCACCACCGAATCCATCACTACCACCATCGCATCACCACCACCACCACCACCACCACCACCACAACCACCATCACTACCACCACCACAACCACCATCTACCACCACCACACCACCACCACCACTACCACCACCACCACCACCACTACCACTACCCACCACCTGCTCAGCCAACATCACTGCCACTATCACAACCATACACAAACACCATCCCTCTACGGCTAACTGGTATCAGGGTTATAGGATACCGTGCCATTAATCCTCTGACCATTCTCCCCCCCTGTCTGTGCGTTCCTCTGTGCTTCTCTGTGCGTCTCTCTTTGTTATTGCTGTCTGCATCTCCCTGTGTGCGTCTCCTGGTATGCGTCTCTGGTATGTGCGTCTCCCTGTCTGTGCGTCTTCCTGTCTGTGCATCTCCCTGTCTGTGCGTCTCCCTGTCTGTGCATCTCCTGTCTGTGCGTCTCCCTGTCTGTGCATCTCCCTGTCTGCGTCTCCCTGTTTGTGTCTCCCTGTCTGTGCATCTTCCCTGTGTGCATCTCCCCTGTCTGTGCGTCTCCCTGTCTGGCATCTCCCTGTCTGTGCATCTCCCTGTTTGTGCGTCTCCCTGTCTGTGCGTCTTCCCTGTCTGTGCGTCTCCTGTCTGTGCGTCTCCCTGTCTGTGCATCTCCCTGTCTGTCGTCTCCTGTCTGTGTCTCCTGTCTGTGCGTCTCCCTGTCTGTAGGTCTCCTTGTCTGTGTCTCCCCTGTCTGTGCGTCAACCTGTGTGACGTCTCCTGTCTGTGCGTCTCCTTGTCTGTACGTCTCCTTGTCTGTGCGTCTCCTTGTCTGTGCGTCTCCTGGTATGTGCGTCTCTTGCTAATGCTCTCCTGCCTATGCGTCTCCCCTGTCTTGCATCTCCCTGTCTCCCTCTCTGTGCGTCAACCTGTCTATGACGTCTCCCTGTCTGTGCGTCCCTGTCTGTGCGTCTCCCTGTCTGTGCGTCTGTAAATAAGATCTCCTCAGGGACTGCGTGTGGATTGTCTTGAAACTCTGCACCAGCCTTCCACACCGCCCGGGAGTGATGCATACTTAACTCCTTGTCTCCTGCCTCCCTTTCTCCTGCCTCCCTTCCTGTCTCTCTGATCTCCTGCTCCCTGCCTCCCTCCTCTCCCTGCCTCCCTTCCTCCCCCCTCCCCTTTCCTCCCTGCCTCCCTTCCTGTCTCTGATCTCCTGTCTCCCTGCCTCCCTTATCTCCCTGCATCCTTCTATCCCTGTCCACCTGCTTCACTTCTATGCCTGCCTGTTCCCTGCTCCCCCTATTTCCCCCGCCTCCTCCCTCTCCCTGCCTCCTTCTCTCCCTATGCCTCCCTTCCTGTCTCCTGCCCCTGCCTTAATGTCTCCGTACATCCCTTCTCTAACTGCCTCCATTCTTCCTTGAATCCCTCCCTCCCTGCCTCCCTCCCTCCATCCCTCCCTGGCTGTCTCCTTCCTCTCCCTCCTTCACTTTATCTCCCTCCCAGTCTCCCTGTGCCCCTCCTCCCTCACACCCTATGTTTACCCTCATCCCATCCATTCTCTTTACCGTAGGCAAATATATATCCTCTCCACCTCTCCCATCTCATCCCATCCCATCTCATTCCATTCCATCCCTAACCATCTCTTCATTCCCTTCAGCCTGGCATATATATCCCTCCCTTCTCCCTCACGTCCAAAACTCATCCCATCCCATCCCATCCGATCTTCACCCTCCTTTCCCCCTCCACCCTGAGCTATTTATATCCCTCTCCCGTTCCTCCTTCCTTCCCTCCCTCCCTCCCTCCCTCCCTCCCCCTCCCTCCCTCCCCTCCCTCCCTCCCTCCCTCTCCTCTCCCTCCCTCCTTCCGTCCCATCCTCCTTCCTTACTTCTCCTTCATTCCTCCCCTCCTCCTTCTTCTTCTTCCTTCCTTCCTTCCTTCCTTCCTTCCTTCCTTCCTTCCTTCCCCCAGTAATCGATGCCCTATCCCCTGGTACATCACATAACCCGGACATGTTTAGCTCCCCAGGTTGGACGTTAGTGGCTGCTTGTAAACATCACCCTCTCTTCCTCCCTTCCCACCTCCTTCCATCCCTCACCCCTCTCCCACTCCTCCTTCCCACCCCCCTTCCCCTGTGGTCCTTTTGGACTGGGTTTTGTGTGGGCCTGTCTCCGGACTTTTTTGGGAGGAGGGGGGGGCTTTATTGTGACGGAATCTTTTTTTGGACTTGAGCTGTGGGGTGACTTTAACTTTTCGGACTTTTTATGTGAGATGACCTTAGGACTTAACGAGTTAATAAGGAAGGTTTGTTTATTGAACTTGTTACTGAAGTCCGATAGAAATAGATGCACACACACACACACACACACACAAAAAAAAAAATAATAGTTGCCCTTTCGTAACGAGGATGGCCGACC